TCTTTGTCAAATAATTGCGATCTTCTTGTATGAGGAAGGATGAAGGAAAATTAATTAATTAACCCTTTATAACGAATGTCGTCATATCACAGTTACAATTAAATTAAATTAAATTCTAATGTATATATATAAATTAATAATAAAAAAATATAAGTTTATTAATAATTAATAAAATATAAAAAAATAAAAAAATTAATAAAACAATTTAATAAAAATATATATTAATAAAAAAATATACATTATGTTTTATGAAAATTTTATTAATAAATTGAAAGAATTGAAAGTACATAAAAATTAAATACTGTATATATATATATATTATTTCTAATATTTAGCATTTTAATTTATAATATCGTTTCATATAGAAAGTATCCATGATTTGTCAGAAATCAGAATCGAAAAAATATTCATCCATAAAGGATTAAAATTAACATATTGTTTTCGAAAAATTACTTTTAAATAAATTTATTATTATACATATAATATTATTGACCAAAAATTAATGCATTTTTAGTTAATTTTTATTTTCCTATGTGATGATTTATAAATTGGAAACCATTCTCTTAAATGTTTTCATTTCTCAATTTAATTTTTAGAATTTTCAGATAAAGAACACAGAAAGTTTAAATTCCATTGACATCAAAATTCTAAATCCAAGAAGGAAAAAACAAACATAAATAAATAATAGATCTTTTTAAATATTTTCATATTAATTTCATTTACAAATGACAAATTCGAAATTTGAAGTTTTATTAACACCAAATTTTTAAAGAAACGATAAGATTATGTATAAATTTATGTATTTTTCTTAAATATAATTACATATCTTCTTGAATTTTTGAATGAAAACTCAAGTTTTATTGATATTGAATTTTTAAATCCAAAAAAAAAAAAAACAAAATGGTAAACTTTAATCTGTATCTAGGTAAATATATTTTATATTTCCAATTTGGATATTTATAATTTTTATTCAATCATTATATGTATTTTTATTATACATTATATCATTATAATAATTATTTTAAATTATAATAACCATATATATAATAACTGATTAAAAAATATTGACAAATAGAATTAAATAAAAAAAAATAAAAATTGTCATTAAAAATTATTTTCTAATTCTTTAAATAAATTATTTCATTTTTCAATTTTAAAAAATTCAAATTGATTTTTTTCCTCTAATCATAAATCTCGTAAGAAGATAAAAAAAAATACTCTATAGAATTATTTCTTATTATATATAGAAATATTTTTTATTTAATAAACAGAGCATTAAATAAATATAAAACAAAATATTGTATCATAACATGGGATTCACAAACATAAAAAGAAAAAAATAAAATTCAAAATTCTACATTATTTTTAATAAATATTTTTTATTGTTTCCTTACTTCATTTATCATAATAATTGAATCATAATCAATTTACAAGAATCAATTCCATTTTTGAAAAAATTCTAATTTTAATAGATAAAATCAAAATACATAAAATATATTGGAACTTAAAATTTCAAATATTTAATTTTATATAGATGATTATTTCACATGTTGTTTAATTATTAATTACATTTACAATATTAATTATAACAAGATACAATATTATATTTTACATATTATTACATTTTTATATATTAAATCTATATCGATTAAGTATTTTTTATTCATCCACTAAGTCTTTGAAGTCTTGAACCCTTTCTTACATAGTCTTAGAACAAAAGACTATATTTAATTCTTCTTTCACAAGATTCGCAATTCTTTCACATAAAATTCACGCTACATTGATTAAAATTACAAGAATAGCTTCGCAAAGATAAAGAATTGACGTGGATGTCTGAAACAACGAGTAGTTATCGCAAATTTGTTGACTATATACAGTTGGCCATTTTTTCTTTGCTCATATATCACATCCAAGTCTTTGAACTTTTTCTTCTATGAATAATAAATGAGTAATAATCCCTCTTGGAAAGGAGAATTGATAACAGTCGCTGAAACGGTGAATCAGAAACGATTGTGCCTCGTTTGTTTGCCACCGAAATGGCGGATATTCAAGGCCTCGAACTATTTTATAAATGAGAAACGGATAATAGGGGTCTGTAGTCCATTAAGTCCACAGAATGGAAGATTAACGATGACCAGTAGACTTGAATGACACTGGCTAAATGACATCATTTATCCAATGCTTTCCTGTCACTTGGTACACACGATTATATAATAACGTGTGTGTCCAGAAAAAATCAATTTTGTCCAACCTAAAATTCTATTTCAGTCAGACTGATAATAAATTATTTTTAATTATAATAATTGAATTGAAAAGTATTGAAAAATGAAAAGAAAAGAAATAAAAAATTGAATAATTTTTTTTTTAATTTAATTGTCTTATATATATCATTTTTTTTATTTTCTTAATTCAATTAATCACTACGTTAATTATAATTGTTTAATACATTAAATCACTTCAAGAATCATTGATTAAACTTTGTTATCTTAACTTTCGAAATATTTTTTTGTCTTAATTTTTCTCCATATAAAATATTGTAATAAATTGGTAAAAACCAATTAAAATGCCAATTAAAATGAATCTAAAATCTCAGATACAAACTCGATCGATTTATTATTGATTAAATAAAGATAAATTTATATCGTTACAATATTCTCGTAAATTATTCATATGTATTATTATTAATTCAGATTTCAAGTCACAAAAATATAAAAAATTTTTGAAATCCGAGAGATCAAAATATTTCTCGAAAAACTTATTATAATAATTCCATCAAATACAGGAAATTTTCATTCGATATGGACGAAAAAATTCAATTTTATCACATTGAAACGAAAGATCATTTATATCGCGCGCCCACGAAATAAATATGGCGACACGGCCAACCACGTATTAGATTAATTTTTCACCGATGCAACCGCTAATTGGCCAACCACGTGTCGAGGTTTTCGTTATTCGATTAGCAGAATTTCCTGGTGGAAAAATTACCGCCAGTCTTTTTGTCAGGCCTGTCCGTACGTCTCTTTCGGGTCAAGTCCGAATTAATTCGCAATTAATGGCCGACCGTTCCTAATCTGCCATGCTTAAACTCGCGTTACGACGAGCTACGTGGAATTTTAACGCGATCTGCAACGCAGATCTGACGTCTGTCGTCGAAAACGTCGTTTCTCTCCAAGAATATTGTTCACTACAAGGCAAGTGTCGTCTGGATAAAAGATATGGAATATTTGTAAATATCGGAATTTGTATCATGATAATGTTTAATTTAAAAAATTGATCTAATCAATATTTTTCTTCTAAAATATTACAATCAGGAATTAAAATAATTTCAAAAGTAATTGTATATAATTCTGATCTGATTTTAATTGAACTTTCATTCTGAATATTGTAATTCATGCATAAAATTATTAAATTCTTTCACTTGTTTGCTATCTTATATCTATATCTATAAACATGTAAATAATATAATATATAATTTCATCCAATCTTTTTTCTTACATCTTAATCAAAGCTAATGCAACCTAACCTAATCTTAATTTCGAATAATATTTATAATTATTTACTATAATATATATATATATTAGATTATTAAAATCTTTTATATTTCTGTTACAAATTTATATAATTATTTCAATTTTTTCGTAATTTAATTTTAACATTTCCAAACGTATAAATAACACTTGATCTAATTTCACTTTCTTTACATCTTAATCTTTCACACAAATTACCTATCTTCATAATCGAAAAAAAAAACTTCAACAAAACCGAAAAACATCCATACCTGTTTCGAGAATCACACTTCACGAAATTCTTTTTAACACGGTTCACTTCTTACGATATGATCATGAGATAAAAAGCGTCAGGAAAGAGGGTCAGTGGCGTGGTCGCGAAATGGAAGCCGGTTGGATCGTAACGAGAAAACCGGAGGGATGGAAAAAGTTGGCGGAGAATCACGTTTAAACCGGCTCGAGAATCTAGAAGAGAGACTCAGTTTGCCTCCGGAAATTCCGCTCCTTTCCTTTTGTTAGCTCCCTGTAACCCAGTGGGTTTCCAAGCCTCTCGAACCGATGGACTCTCGTTATAGTCATGATTTTACGTTTGAAAATGCGCGCGTTATCGTACTGCGATAGATGTTGGCATGTTACTGAAAAAAAGAGAAGTTTTCTTATTTTGTCTCTTCATTCGAGTTATTCTTATTGTCTATGTTTATTATTTTGTTTTTTTTTAAAGAGATAATTAAACAGATAATAATAATTTTTTAGTGGTTTTAATGGAAAAATAGAGAAATGAATATTGTTTAATAATTTTATTTTAAAAGTTAATAAAGTAAACAAAAATAAATAGTTACAGAAAAAAAGTTAAATTAATTCTTGATTATAGCGAATAATATTTTTCAATATATTTCCAAATTTTAAACTTAGACAAACAAAAAATTATTGTGAATCTTTTTTAGGTTATATTGATACTTTATTAGAAAATATATATTAAAGATTACTATATGTAAGTATTAAGAATATAAAAAATTTTATTTGTATTTGGAATATATTATTTACATATATATATTACATATATATTATTTACATAAATTATGAATATAATTGTTTTAAAATTATTACAGATAAAATATTTAAAAATAAGTTAAAATAAAATTATAAAAGAAATAATTCCAAACTTATATAGTTTATTAAAATTAATATATATTTAATTGAAAAGCTCAGTGAAAAAAATGTATTCTCTACATATAAAGGAAATGATACATAGAATTCGAATTCATGTAGAGAAAAATTAAAAAAATATTATCTGATAGTAATTTAATTTATTCATGGTCCTCTTAATTTAAAATTTTTTTCATTTAAAAAAAATTTCTATTCCAAATTTTATCACTTATTACACAATACAATTATTACAATTATTATGATTTTTTTTATTAAAATAACTTTTAATAAAAAAGTTTATTTCTTCTTATTTCCACTAAAATTTATAACTATTTGTCAATTTTCTCTATTATTTTTACTTAAACCAAATAGATAATTTCTATTCATTTAAAACATTATTTAAAATAACATTTTTTCATATAAATCTTTAACAATACGTAATATTAATATATTTTTAATTTTTTTCAATAAAAAATTAATAATCCAAAATTTTATATTTAACATTATATTAATAACAATAACATAACATCAGTTTCTTCAAACTTAAAGTTAATTAATTTATATTATTGAATCAGAGATTACAATCAATTAATGAATCAACAAGATATTTACAAATAACTTTATAAATTGTAATATACTTCAAATTATTTATCTTTTTCTTTTTGTTTTCTGTAACTATAATAGATAATGACGTTAAAATTTCAAATAGGAAAGATCACGTAGACCATTCTATATATAATAATGCATTTATATTCAGTCCAACATCTAATGACAAAAATAACATTACTAATCGCTATTTCGAACAAGGCTAACAATAGTCGAAGAAATCACCCAGAAAAAACATCAACAGACCCGACTATGTTTCGTGTAATGCATTCGAATGCCGTCTCGCCGTTTTTCTTTCCTCTCGTAACACTTCCAAGGTTTTCTCACGAATCGTTCACCTTTCTCCTTTTCTTCCGCTTCTGCAGAAACGCGTGCACGCGAGTGCACGTTGCAATACAGTTGAACATCCTCGTTGGTTCACTGTGCACGTAGTTCTTGCATCATAACTGTGAAACGCTTTTACACGTTTACCATTTGCGTAAAATTTTCATCTTTTCATAATTCTATAGTTCGTGGCTATGCGACATCTGTTATTGAATGTTCAAATTTGATTACTTTATAAGCGAATACAATTTCTAGTGTAAACTCCATGTCGCTAGTATTATATAGATTTCTTCCGGATTTTTAGATATTGCAAATAATTTATGGTTATGTATGTAGATTTTGAAAATATTAAAAGATTTATTCAAGAATTGATTTTAATAATTTTGAACATTTTTAAGCATTTTTAATAAAATATAAAAAGAAGAAAATAAAAAATTTGAAATAAGAAATTTAATAAATTTGATAATACTAGTGTTAATTAATTAATTATGATCAATTAATTTTCTTATTATTAATTTTGTAATTGTATTATAAATTAATATTTTGAAAAAGGAATTCAAATTTAACATATAATATATGTTATTTATGTTTTTTTTTTTCATTTTTTGTTCATGTTGTCATTTGTTGTTGTTTCATGTTTTTTTTTCTATATTATTATTAATTTTTATTCTTAATAATTCTTTATAATTTTTAATATTTCTTATTTTTCAAATATTATTATCATTATTAAACAATTTTTTTTTTAGTAAAAATATAAATAACATAATAAAATATATGAAATTAAAAATATAATAGTTATTAAAATAAATAATATTTATTATAATACTTATTAAAATAATTTATATAGTTTTTAAAAATATTTTTTATGAAGAAAAAAAATAGAATACATGCCAAGTTAAAAACTTTATTTTCAATCTAATAATAAAATAATAAAATAAATAAAATATTGAAATATACATGACGTATATGTGAGTTCAAGTTGCTAGTAGAAATCTAAAAAAATTAATAATAAAATAAATTTATAAATCTGATAAAAAAGAGTCACAAACTTTAAAAGTTGTTTCACTTCTAAATTTAAAATATTGTAGCTGAAAAATATACATATCCATTATTTTTTGCCATTTTACGAACTTTATTCAAAAAATTATCTTCAATCATAATCATAACTTAGCATTTGTATATTTAAATTATAATATCCAAAAAGCAAAAAATAAAAAGAAAAATGAAAATTAATAGTAATTGAGGAACTTATAGATTTCCATTTTTATATTTAAAAAAATTTTTTTTTTATATAATAATTAACAGTTATTGAATCGAAATCGTTATTCAATTTCTGATAAATTTTTAAAGATTTTTTTGGACTTATTGATTGGCAATACCAAAAAATGATTATTTGTTCTTAACAATAAAACAAATAATTTCTTGATTATTATTTTATTATTTTATTTTATTAATTTAATTATTTATAATTAATATATATTTATTATTAATTAATTTATAATTATTTATTAATTTAATTATTATATTATTAGATATAAGAGAAATCTTATATATATTACATATATGTCAATTTTATAATAATTATAAAACAGATTAATAAAAAACAATTAAATATCAATAAACAATTAAATATTGTAAATCGTTTGTTTTTTATCTAATTTATATCTAATTTATTTTAATAGAACTTATTTTTAAATATATTATATATATTAGTTCAAAGATAATGGACT